CTTGAACTCAACAGTATCTGATCCTAGACATGCTACTTGTGATTTGATAATTTGAAACGATTTTTCACGAGAGGTATTTTATTTATTTATTTATTTAATGATTTGCCCATGTAATATACCATTATGTTACATAAAAAAATAAAGTAGATACATTTGGGCTAGGAGTCTATAGAAACCTTGAACAAGCTTTTGGATTTGGACCCCTAGTTTAAAGTCTTGGTGCTAATATATATAGTTAAATTGTCATCGGTTCTAAGTATTTACAAAAAGTGAGGTTATGTTACATTCAATATTTGTAGGAGAGTATTTACCGAAGGGCTTGAATCGGGTTTTTCCCATTAATTTAGTTTATTGTACGATCATCCAGATTAAATTTCTTTAATTATTTCTGACGTTTAATTATTTTTTGATTATTTCATCCTACCACCCAACCTCGCACAAGTCAACTACAATAGCAACCTTAGTGAAGAGAGTGCATGCAGTTTGCAGTCCTAGTGAAACCCTCGAAGATGAGTTGCAGCACCTTGATAAAGTTTTTACCATCAACAAATATTCTAAAGCTTTTGTGAACAGCGTAATTGAACATTTCCGGAAAACAACTGCACCAACTATATATGCGTTATATATATGCGTTTTTTAATGGCACACTATCACAAAAAATTGAATTACAATGTGCTTACAATAATTACATAACTAAGTTAATAAAGATACAATAAGTCTAATACTATATTTACAATTTAAAAATTTAGGTGTGAGGAAAGTATATATTGTAATAGTTTAGATATTCAAAAACTAGTGTCATGATGACATATTTAAAACTCAAATCATACTTAGGAAAAAAATGTTCTGAAAACGATCAGTTCTACATTTGAACAATGACCATGCAATTGTTAGCGTTACGTAAATCGTAGTTCACGTTTTCCCTAGTCTGAAGTAAGCGATAAAACAGGCGGTTGCCATCAGTTATCTTTTTAATCGTTCTTTTACACAAAGCATCGCGTCTCTCATCTAGGCGAGAACAATGGGGCTGACTCAAAGCTTCACGGTAAGACCTGCCAGGGAGGATTGTATTCAGTGCTCTTAGCTTTTCTGAACTCGTTCAATTGAGTCCGCCAGATAAGCTGGTAGATTGTTATGCCATGCAATGCAGCAGTACTCTAGTACGGAGCGAATGAGAGCATAGTAAATAAGGATCAGTTCATAAGGTGGGATTCCACCCCGTGTAAGAACTCTAAGAATATGAAAACGCTTGGAGGCCTTTCTGACAATCATGGCAATATGCCATTCCATTTAAGATTATCCTGTGTAACCAAGCCAAGAACCTTATTATGGGAAACGATTTCCAGGGGGTGTCCCCCTAAATTGAGACGTTCTAAAATGGGTCGCTCTTTTAGGAAACAGACGTGCATCTTTTTGCATTTCTTTGGATTTAGCTTCATTAGGTTGTTGTCAGCCCATGTGTTGACCTCATCAAGGTGATTCTGCATGCGGGATTCACTGTTTCTTGACAAGGACTCTGAAATGGATACATCATCCATGAATTTCCAAGTACTAGTATTCCCTGGGGATGGAATCTTTAGATCGTTGATCATAATCAAAAATAAGATTGCTCCCAACTTTGTACCTTGTGGTACACCGGCTGTAACCGCCAACCAGTCCGAGGTAGCGCCACCAAGTCTAACAAACTGTCTACGGTTAGATAGAAAACTTATAATCCATGGGTCAGAGAGCGCCTTACTCGAATATTGATAAGCTTACTAATAAGCACATTATGTCCGATACGATCGAAGGCCTTTGTGTAGTCTAAAAATAATAGACGGATATGCTTATCAGGAGAGTCAAGGTGGAATAGCCAATTATGTATCATATCGAGAAGGCAGTATGCTGTTATGATCCTTTCAAACAACCAAATTGCTGTATGTCAAGATTATTTACGACGTCTTTCATCATCCATTGTACAACAAAGTCCTCCAGGACTTTGCAAAGACAAGGGGTGAGAGAGATTGGTCGAGTACCTCCTTCACAAGTCGGTTGTGGCACTTTTGGAATTGGGAAAATGCACGAATCTTTCCAGGCGGCAGGAAATGTTCCAGAGGTTAGGGATGTGTTAAGGATAGTTGTAATGGGTTCTGCAAACTCGTGAGCAAATTCTTTTAATATGCGAGGTGTAATACTATCAGGGTCACATGCTTTGAAAGGTTGAAGAGTACAAAGTTTCTTATAAACTTGGAAAGGTTCGATTATAGATGGTGTGTACGTCAGGAGCGGGTAGGAATGCCCGTAGTACTGAGCAATCAAGTGGAGGGATATCTGCATTAACAGATGTATAGAAACTGTTAAGACTGTTCACCAATTCGGAATTAGATAAGATTTTCCCGTCACGCTCGAGACTGAAGCTCGTGTTCTTTTTTGATCTTCCGGACATTTTATTTACAACATTCCACCACTTTCGACAATCATCTTTACGAAGATGCTGAATCTTATCCTTATAAAACATTTCTTTCCTCAGTTTTATTTCTGATTGCACTTTGCACTTCGATTGTTGGCATTGTTGCTTATCACCTCTATAGAAGGCTTTTTGACGATCTTTAATAAGTTGCTTGATTGAATGGGTTATCCAAGGTTTGTCGGTGTGATGTAATTTCACTGTCTTTAGTGGGAAGATGTTATTAAGACCATTGGTCACTTGTGATGAAAAGGAGGTAACCAATTCATCCGTCCCTGGATTATCGCTGAGTTCGTCAAACCAATTTTTTGAGCAAGCCCAACGTCCGAAAACCTCAATTACAGACCGAGGATAACGTCTCACCAAGTGCTTTATGGGCTTATGTTTGGAGGTCAGAGTATTTATGGCATAGTTAGTAAGAGGGAGCCAGTGAACAATGTTATGATCCGAAGTGGTAAGCGGAGCCAGTATATACGGCTTCTCGTACAAGTTATGCAAGTTGGTTGCAATAAGGTCGAGGATAGCAGACCCTCTGGTAGGTAAATGGACAACTTGCTTTAAGCTATGGTTGGATGCTAGATTATGTAAATCAAAGTTGTTAAAAATCTCCAAGAATAACAATTCCACAATCCGGATATTTATTACGCAAGCAGTCAGTAGTGTCTATCAAATACTCGTCAAGAACACGAAGCTCTTGAGCTGAACGATCTGGAGGGTTGTAGATAAGACAAACAGCAATCCCCGGCGAAACTGAACGGAAGAAGATCATTGCCACCATCCCTTACATCAAAGGTACATCCGAAAGAATTGCAAGAATCCTACGACCTTTCAACATTAGTGTGGCTCACAAACCAACGGTAACGCTAAGAAATACCTTAATGAAAGTGAAAGATCCAACCAATACAAAGATCCGGATAGGTTCAGCTTACAAAGTGACCTGCGCTGAATGCCCCGCAACTTATTTCGGTGAAACTGGACGTACTCTAGATTGTTGCATTAAAGAACATAAGCGATCAACAGAGAAACAAGACGTAGTGAATAGAATTGCGGTTCATCATATGGAAACAAATCATAGAATTGATTGGGAGGGAGCCACTTTTATGGAGTTTAATGGTTTTGAGGATGAGAGAATGTTCTTAGAAAGCTGGTTTACAAAATGGGATAAAAACAGCATTAACATTTGCCGCGATATGCCAGGAGCATACGCTTGACTAATCACGCATGAACGCAGGCTATCATGCCTTGAACGCAGGCGCGAGCAAACAACATCACGAACACGCGCACGTCATTTTTGACGCAAGATAAAATTATTATTACTGTAAATTTTTTGTAACTGTAATACGTCTTTGATAATGGTTGCCGTGTAGGTAATCGAAACGTCAGAAATAATTAAAGAAATTTAATCTGGATGATCGTACAATAAAGTAAAATAGAGTATTTACTATTAATAATTAAAATGAGAAGCTTGAGTTAAATATCTATTTACATGAAGAGAAATTACAGTTAAAGTGTTTTATAAGATTAATTACATAGAAAGTGTATTTTGAATTTTTTCTTAAAAATGGAACGTGATGTTATTTTTTTTAAATTACTGTCAAGATTATTCCAAACGTCCACCCCTTTCACTGAAAGCGAGTGCTTGACGTAGTTAGTTCTCTGATAAGACTTATGAAGTTTAGTTGAGTATCGAATGTTGTATTGGTGAGAGTTGTATTGGTTATTTGAAATAGTAGTTATTTAACTTACACGAGATTCAAAATCTGTAGGTCAATAAATATTTTTTCAATGTGAGAAAAATTGGACTGAAATGCCATAAGACGAATTATTTTCTTTTGAATATTTGGTAACTTTTGAATTCTTGTTTTGTATGTGTTACTCCATATTAGATTGCCATATATTAGATATGGATAGACTAAAGCATAGTATATTAGTTTTAAAGTATTCAAATTTGTAAAATGACGAATTTTTGCAATAATTCCTACAGATTTTACAATTCTCTTTGCAACGGAATCGATATGATCGTTCCATGATAAACATTCGTCAATAACTATAAACCTAAAAATGTTGTACTTTTGACTTGTTTGATATCGTCGTTATTGATGGACAACTTTACTACGTGTTTCGTTTTCTTTTTTGAGGATCGAAATAAAATAAATTTAGTTTTTGATGTGTTGATAGATAGTTTTTTCGTGTTTAGCCATTCGGCTATTTTTTCCACTTCCGTCTGAAGAGTTTCATTTAGTGTTTTGAGGCATGAATGACTGTAAAATATATTTGTATCATCAGCAAACAATGGCGTTGATGCTATACCACTACAGTTTTGAATATCGTTTATATAGAGGATAAAAAGTAGTAGACCCAATATTGAACCTTGCGGGACACCTGTTTGTACTATCATTTCGCTTGACATTATTTGTTTATATTTTACAATTTGTTTCCTGTTTGTAAGATAATTTTCAAACCAAAGTCTTGCTATGCCACGAATTCCGTATTACTCTAATTTACTGATCAGATTGAATCTTGTGATCAATGGTGTCAAATGCTTTTGACAAATCTAAGTATTTACTTGATCTTTCAGGTCATTTGTCTTTCTTGGTGTTGCTGTCATTGTTGATGCTTGTTTTTCTTCAGTTGAGATTTCTATTGCGTGGCTAGTGCTTTTATTTCTGCCTTTCTTATCTTTCTTATCATTCAATTTCATCACTTTATCAAAATAGTCATGGAGGCTTTCTTTCGATGTTTGGGAATTGATATTTTCATCTGAGTCAATCATGCAAAGAATAATTTCAAATTCTTTGCTTCCCCACTCGGTTAAGGCTTTCTCTTGGATTTGAATTCTACCGGTACGTATAAGTAGATCGTTATTGTTAGTAAATTATCATTCGAGTTGTTTCCTGTGCGCGAGAGATTCAGCCAGATTTTGTCACATTTCGATGGGTCATTTATATCCTCGTGCTCTTCCCAACGTACGTCGAGCTCCGTGTTTTCTTTCAGGCCAGCAATATATCGAAAATATACGGCTTGAATCCATGATATCAATCTTACGTCGGTTGTTGAAAAGGCTATCATATTTGCCGATGGTTTATAAATATTGAAATCTATTTTTTCATAGCTAAGGTATTTCTTTCTTTCTGGACCTTTTAAATTTCTCAATCTGGTATCGCATGAATGACAAGTCGGCTTCGACAATCTTGGTCGACTCGCTTGTTGATTCAGTTCCCATGTCTTGTTCATCGGTAGCCATTTCGACACAAAATCCTTTTAATCACAAAAATTGGCTATGTTATTCCTCGTTTATAAAAATGTCCGCCATCTTAATTTAAATCTGGCGTGCCTATTGCAATCCCTAAGCCAATGCCGATCGCGGCGTAAGCCCGGAGCGTGGGTACTAATTCCGCCCGGCTATTCACACCCGGGGAAACAAAAGCATTAGGGAAGTCTAAAGTTCATCAATGATCGCGGGAGTGGGTTAAGTTACGGTTCGTGTTTTGGTGGGGGCTCATCCTCACTGATTTAAAAAATATGGTGGACTGTGATGAATAGCGAACACTGATAGGTCAGATTTAAAGTTTGCATTATAACGACTGCATGACGACAGCGAAATAGCAGACATTTCTTGATTTGATGAGTTCTTGCAAATATATTTCATTTTGCCAAGATTTTGTGAATTTCAGACACTTTTTGAGAAAATATAGGCCTACGAATTGCTAAAAGAAGGGAGTAAAGGCGTCCACGTTAATTAATAACGAGGGTAAGTTTCTTTTAAATATTGATGTATTGTTTGCTTTATAATTGCTATAATCACTAATCGATATAATTGTTGACCGTTGTGTATATTTTAGATGAAAAAAGACAGCATATAATTTCAGTGTTTTTTTATTGATCATCGATCACCCTTTTTTATTATAATTTTTAATTCAATACAAAAGCAACGTTATTTGAATGCGATAATGTGAAATAATATTATTGCAAACTCAAAGTTTTTCGATAAAGACAGTTTAGTTTTATAAAGAACATTTCAAAACGCATTGCGAAGCGTTTGAGGTGGAATTTTCCCTTAAATTGAAGCTTATACTACGTATAATAACATATCTATCTTTTTCAATGCTATATTTATATAGAACCTAGAACTTTAAATCATTTTTTATGTACCGTTATATATAAATAATTCCCATAATGCCACAGCAAATCGTAAATAAATGCTCCTCATGCCTTGAGCTTATCGAAAAACAGCAAAAGCATATAGAATGCCTTGCATGCCGGAAATATTTTCATGCGGATATTTCATGCGTAAAATCATCAAATTATGCTAATAAAAATATTGACATATGCCAAATTTGTTTAAATGATACTCTGCCATTTCAAACCCTTTCAAACGAGGAATATGTATTAGATGCAAGCAAAAGTAACTTGTCAGAGGAACATATATATAGACTAAATCAGCTCAAATTTAATCCGTTTAATTTCAACAACGACATAGCCTTGTGTGATAGTAATGCGAATTTAGATCATGTCTTGGACACAAACAGACTAACGTGTAATTACTATATACCGGAAAGTCTTAATAAAAAACAACCTTCAAATCAGCAAAATCAATTCTCAGTCATGTGTTTAAATATAAGAAGCATCTCAAACAAATTTGATATGTTTAAACAACTAATTAAATCTACGAAGGAAAATTTTCAGATAATTGGTTTGACAGAAACATGGCTAGGCGATGAGAACTATAAAAATTTTAACTTGGAAGGTTATGATTTCATTAGTATGCATAGAAGTGGAAAAAAGGGTGGTAGAGTAGGTATATACGTTGCTTAAAATTTACAACATAAATTACGCAAAGGCCTCAATGTTAACATAGAAGACACCATTGAATCTACTTTTATAGAGATAGCCACTGAAATTGGGAAAAATATTATCGTTGGAGTAATTTATCGGCCACCAAATAATAAGATCGAAGTATTTCAAGATGCTACAAATGAAATTTTGAGCAAAGTAGATGAAGAGAATAACATCTGTTATCTCATGGGAAATTTTAATATTGATTTACTTAAATCGGAATCTTGTGATTTTGCCAATAAATTTACAGAACAACTTTTTACATCTTCTTTTTACCAACTCATAACAAAACCAACTCGAATAACATCCCATACTGCTACACTTATTTATACTGCACATATATTTAATCTGACATTTACTACAGGTATTATTCCTGAACAGATTAAAACTTCCCTGGTAACACCAGTATTTAAATCAAATGAAGAAAATAAATTTGAAAACTATAGACCAATATCAGTTCTAACTTGTTTCGCTAAAATACTTGAAAAATTAATGTACAAACGACTAATAAATTACGTTGAAAAAAATAATATTTCATCTGACCATCAATATGGATTCAGAAAAGCAGATCAACTGAACTTGCTTTAATCGAACTTGTTAATAAAATTACAAAAGAAATCGATCACGGAAAATACACCATAGGTATTTTCTTAGATTTGTCAACAGCATTTGACACCATTGATCACAAGATTCTGATCAGTAAATTAGAATATTACGGAATTCGTGGCATAGCAAGACTTTGGTTTGAAAATTATCTTACAAACAGGAAACAAATTGTAAAATATAAACAAATAATGTCAAACGAAATGATAGTACAAACTGGGGTCCCGCAAGGTTCAATATTGGGTCCGCTACTTTTTATCCTCTATATAAACGATATTCAAAACTGTAGTGATATAGCATAAATGCTATTGTTTGCTGATGATACAAATATATTTTACAGTCACTCATGCCTCAAAACACTAAATGAAACTCTTCAGACAGAAGTGGAAAAAATAGCCGAATGGCTAAACACAAACAAACTATCTATCAACACATCAAAAACCAAATTTATTTTATTTCGATCCTCAAAAAAGAAAAAGAAACACGTAGTAAAGTTGTTCATCAATAACGACGATATCAAACAAGTCAAAAGTACAACCTTTTTAGGAGTAGTTATTGATGAATGTTTATCATGGAACGATCATATCGATTCCGTTGCAAAGAAAATTATAAAATCTGCATGAATTATTGCAAAAATTCGTCATTTTACAAATTTGAATACTTTAAAACTAATATACTATGCTTTAGTCTATCCATATCTAATCTATGGCAATCTAATATGGAGTAACACATACAAAACAAGAATTCAAAAGTTAACAAATATTCGAAAGACAATAATTCGTCTTATGACATTTCAGTCCAATTTTTCTCACACTGAAAAAATATTTATTGACCTGCAGATCTTGAATCTTAGTAAGTTAAATAACTACCTTACAAGTCTTTTCATGTTCCGATATCATCATTTAAAGAACTTGCCAAAAACTTTCACAAACTTTTTTATTTCAAATAACCAAATTCACCAATACGACACTCGAAACTCAACTAAACTTCATAAGTCTTATCAGAGAACTAACTACGTCAAGCACTCGCTTTCAGTGAAAGGGGTGGACGTTTGGAATAATCTTGACAGTAATTTAAAAATAATAACATCACGTCCCATTTTTAAGAAAAAATCCAAAATACACTTTCTATGTAATTAATCTTATAAATCACTTTAACTGTAATTTCTCTTCATGTAAATAGATATTTAACTCAAGCTTCTCATTTAAATTAATAAAAGTAAATACGTACTCTCCTACAAATATTGAATGTAACATAACCTCACTTTTTGTAAATACTTAGAACCGATGACAATTGAACTATATATATTAGCACCAAGACTTTAAACTAGGGGTCTAAATCAAAAGCCTGTTCAAAGTTTCTATAGACTCCTAGCCCAAATGTTTCTACTTTATTTTATTTACTTTTTATGTAACATAATGGTTTATAATATAGCATTTGTAAATTCTGAACGCTGATTGGCTAAGAGCCGTGTTGATATAACTCCATGTCAACACGGGAAATTTTCCACCGCTTGTAACACGGAAACTGTTCTTATTCTTCGGGCTTTTGACATTGCTATATTATAAAACAAATATAAAACACTTTTTCCGTATTGATATTTAGTTATATCAACACTCGTGGAAGTTGGGAAAACTCGAAATTGTGTGAAAACACTCCGCCCTTCGGGCGTCGTGTTTCCACACAATTTCTCGTTTTCCCAATTTCCACTCGTGTTGATATAACTGTATATCAACACGGAAAATGTTTTATATTTGTTAAATATCACATGGGCAAATCATTAAATAAAAAATAAAAAATAAATCTAACATATATATGTTCGGGAAATTGATAATTTTGTAACTAAAAGTGATATTTTAAGGGGATTTTTTATTTGTAAAAAATATTCTTAACACAATTGTGTTACCATGACAACTACTTTAGCTAAATATTTTATGTTCGGAAAGTACAATGGTTTTGTCAGCAAGGCGAGGGGTTTCTGCATGCATGTATTTTCTAGTGTATGCAATACTTGGGCGAAACAGTCATTAAGCTGAGCTCAGCATTTTCATCACAAAAAGCCACGTTTGTTATATACGTGTATAAGCATCATTTCGCTGCCAAAGTCATAAGATGGAGTGTCTACATGGAAAACCTGCATCATTATCGGCGTAGAAAAGTTTAACACGCAGTCTTAGTTGTAATATTTTTGGCTTAGAATAATTTATTTATTTATTTATTTATTTATTTATTTAACAACTTTATTGGTGCCACAAATTACTTTAAAATAATTAGTTCAACATCAACTGGCCCAAAAGGGAAGGTGCGAACGAGGCTATATAGAAGTCCCATGCAAGGCACCTCCCTTCTCTAATAAGTAATAACAGATATTTATAAATACATATATATTATAAAACTGTGAAAACAATGAAAGTAGCAAAACGGTCAAACAAGAGCGAATGATGATTTGGAGATCAAGCTAGTCAAACTCTCTTGCATGGAGTGATTAGTTAAGATGACGCACGAAACATCATCATTCATTCCTATTTGGACGCTTTACTTCTAAATAATAGGTTTACTCTATGACCTATGGCAAGAGCAGTCCCGCACCAGACTCCATGTGCACGTCATGTCCACGTCAAAGGTTCTGTTCAGCTCTAAACTAAATGTGTTTTTAGCCAACGTTTTAAACGTCGATAAGCTGGAAAAGTTTTGAGAAGTGGAAGTGACCATAATACTGTTCCAGAGCTTGACTATACGGTTGAAGTACGATCCTTGGAAGGTGCTTGTTCTGCAGGACGGAGTTTTTAGAGTTCTCGCTTCGCTTAACCTAGTACGTCCGTGGGTTACAAAGGAAACAAAGTTATTGATATCCAAATTTATATACCCGTGCATTGCCTTGTAAAAGAAAACCAAATCCTTTACTTCGCGATCGTAACATAATGGCAGTAACTTCAAGGTCACCAGTCTTTCCTTGTACGACTGTTCACCTTTTCGTTGCTTCAGGATCCACCTCGTTGCCCTTCTTTGAACATTTTCAATTTTGATTTTCAGTGAAGTGAGTGCTGGGGACCAGACTTGGGTAGCGTAATCGAGGTGGCACTTCACCAGGGAGAGGTACAGGGAACGCCGCACTTTCGTGTTGGTCAGCAAGGGGCATGTCCTACGTAAGAGTCCAAGCATTTTGTTGGCTTTGCACACCACAACGAGGACTTGTTGATCCCAAGTGAGGTGGTTGGTAATGATACATCCCAGGTCTTTTTCTTTTCTAACGTGGACCAGCGTCGTATTTCCAAGATGGTAATCAAAACATAGTGGATTGCTTTTTCGGGTTACTGTCAATACCTTACACTTCGATGCGTTAAAACTAATGTTGTTGTTATGGCTCCATATACTCAGATGATTCAGGGATCGTTGCAAGCTTTCGCAGCTACCGAGACAGGATATGCTCTTGTAAAGTTTCGAATCATCAGCATACAGTGCTGTCTGTGACGTATCAGACACAACATTAGGGAAATCATTGATAAAGATAACGAAAAGTATAGGACCAAGTAAACTTCCTTGAGGAACGCCAGACGATACAGTCGCCCAATCGGATGCTACACCATCTACAACGACTCTTTGAACACGGCCGTGCAAGTAGTCGGTGAACCAATTTAACAAGTTTCCATTTACCCCATATGATTTTAGTTTGGCAAGGAGAATGTCATGGTCAACGGAGTCGAATGCTTTGGCGAAGTCCAAATATAGAATGTCTGTTTGGATGTTCTTGTCCAAGCTCTTGCCGATAGCGTGGAAAACAGACAGAAGTTGTGTCACACACGATCGGTTTCTGATGAAACCATGTTGTTCATCAGCGATTAGATGGGATATATGGTTGTACAGATTGCTGCATACAGAGCGTTCGAGAATCTTGCTAACAATCGACAACAGCGAGATAGGACGAAAGTTCTCAGGTACTTCTTTTGACTCCTTCTTATGAACAGGTGTGATGTTCGCAGCCTTCCATTCTATGGGTACTCTGCCGCAGTTCAGAGAATGATTGAATAACGCACACAAACTTGGTCCAATTTGTTCACTACATTCCTTTAATAGGCGAGGGTGAATTCTGTCAGGGCCATGTGCCTTGGTTACATCTAAATTGCGTAAATTGTTCACGACTTCTTCCACACTAACAGTAATATTGGACAACTCTACATGAGTTTTAGGTGGAGTGTCGTCGTAATCATCGTTCTCCGTGCTTTTGTTCAACCGTGAAGTTTGAAAAACAGACGCAAAGTATGAGTTAAAAAGTTCTGCTTTTTCGCGTGGGGTTTTCGCCGTGATGCCGTTATATGTTATGCGAGTATTTTGATCTGTTCGATTGTGAAGCATAGCTTTATGATAAGACCAAAATGTTTTAGGATTGGAACAGAACGATGATTCAATCTTATGAAGATATTCACGGTGCTTTCGCCTGATTAATTTTTTAACGTTTTGACTGATTGTTCGTAGTTTCAATTTCCGAGAATCTGACTTATCCAAACGGTAGTTTCTCAGTGCAGTATATTTCTTTCGAATGAGATATCGAACCTCACAGTCAATCCATGGTGGAGAATTTTTATTGGTTATCGTCTTAACAGGGACAAATTGATCAACGGCTGCTTGAAAATTACTTTTCCATTGCATCCAACACTCGTCAATATTTTCTGTGAGATCTATTTCAATCGGTGTTCTCTGTAGGAACGTCCGAAGTTCTTGAAATCTTCCATGATTGAAATCATAAACATTAAGTCGGATACGACGAGCTCGACTGAAAGTTTGTGTAATTGAGAACTCGACTGGAAAATGATCACTGGGGAAATCACAATGATCCAGCGTTCTAATATCTCGGATTAGTTCAGGTTGGTTACATAGTAGCAAATCCAATTTATTTCCTCCGAGGTGCGTAGATCCTGTGATATGCTGTTGAAGAAAATTGTCATTGAACAGTTCACAGAAACGCTCATTTTCCATATGTCCTCTTGAGCTCATTGGTGGTGTGTGATCCTCAGACCATGTCACGCCAGGAAGATTAAAGTCTCCTACAACTACAACGCCATCATTTTCTGACTTACTTTGGAGTGAATCATTCAGTTCGTGCAAGGCATCGGGTGCAGCGTTAGGTGGACGGTAGAAGGTGTATAGGGTCACCGGTTTACTGTTCGTTTGTTTAAGTTGTATAACGACAAGTTCGCAGTTTGGTCTTTCAAGATCTGGGCGATGTGTGTTAATGACCTGCCCTTTAAACATATTTTCCCATTTAATCACCTAGATAATGTATCGTTTAGTGCAGCTTTATATGAAATGTCCCATGGGCCAATAACCTTTGACTTTGACCGATTAGATACTTTAGTGTTCAACCCAGTGGAACACCTATCCTCAGCCCACTTTCCTTCAACTGATTTGGATCCTGATTCGAACTTTTATGCAACTTCTCCTTATACCTGTAATTACATGGTTGAAAATGAAATCAAAAAGCTAGCCACAGTTACGCGGGATCATTCTGATTTTTCTTTGCTGCACCTCAACTGCCGCAGTTTGCTTGGCCATTTTGATGATTTCAAATCACTGATTGCAAATTTGCATAAATCGTTTTGTGCCATTGGAATTTCCGAAACCTGGCTTAATGATCAAACATTTGACCTCGTTAATGTTCCTGGCTATTGTTTCATTTCCAACCACCGCTCAGGTAAAACTGGAGGTGGTGTAGGTCTTTACTTACAAGATCATTTTCAATATAAATTACTTCAAGACTGTACCATATCTAATCCTGACGTAATTGAGTCTATGTTCGTTGAAATTCCTAACCCACACGGAAAAAATATCATTGTGGGTACAGTTTATCGGCCACCTAACCAAAACCTCGATTCGTTTATGCATGAATTTAATAAAATTCTTTCAACCACTTCTAAAGATAATAAACAGTGTTATCTCATGGGTGACTTTAACCTTGATCTACTTCGTTATGATCAGCATTCAGCTACCCAGGAATTTGTGGATTCTTTGTTTTCTCATATGTATATTCCTCTTATTACGCGACCGACGCGCATAACTTCACACACTGCTACATTAATTGACAACATATTTACAAATTCATTTGCTAATTTACAAAACACTCAGAGCGGGATTATTCTCAATGACATTTCCGATCATCTACCCGTTTTTGCATTTTGTAATAATGTGTCTCTTCCTTGTAAAAAAAGTGATAAGAGCTTATATAAGCGAGACTTTGGAGAAGAAAATCTTACTAATTTCTACACTAGTTTGTCACAGGTGGACTGGTCAAATGTTGTGGTAGGACAGGACCCTAACATTCAATTTAATGCTTTTGCATCAGAATACAACACACACTTTGAAGAATGTTTTCCTCTTAAAAAAATTAAACTAAATCGTTCAAATAAGTCAATGACCCCTTGGATTTCGAAAGGTTTATTAGTTTCCATTAAGAAGAAGAATGGACTTTACAAAAAACTAATTAAAAATACAACTCCCGCTCGTGAATCACAATACAAAACTTATAAAAACAAATTAAACCATTTAATTAGAATTGCCAAGCGTTCTTACTATGACAATAAATTCGAACAAGCGAAAGATAATTTAAAGGAAACCTGGAGGCTAATTAATGAGGTCATTAATAAAGATAAGAAAATACATTCCCCGCCATCTTCTTTCAAATCTGGCGGCAAAATAATTTCTGACCCTTTAGAAATTGCGAATGGATTTTGCAAATACTTTACAAATGTTGGACCAAATCTTGCAAGTAAAATCCCGACAGTAAATGTTTCTTTTCAAAATTTTCTTGGACCTCATGTCAAAGAAACAATATTTTTGAGACCAATCACTTTTCTTGAACTGTATAAAATCTGCATGTCTCTTAAAGTTGGGAAGGCACCTGGTGCTGATGGCATCCCAATGCAGCTTATTAAAGGCTCTTTTCAATTTATTTCTGAACCATTAATGCGTATAATTAACCTCTCTCTTGAGAATGGTATTTTCCCCGACAAATGAAAAACGGCTAAAGTTATCCCTATTTATAAAGCCGATGACCCAGAACTTTTTAATAATTACAGACCTATTTCAATTTTATCAAACTTTTCGAAGATCTTTGAAAGGGTAATGTACAATCGACTAATTGAATTTATTGAAAAGTTCGAAATATTGTATTGTTATCAATTTGGTTTTCGTAAAAATAATTCAACTAATTTTGCTTTAATTCATTTGACTAACAAGATTGCAACTGCTATTGATCAAAATAAAATTACAGCCGGTGTTTTTGTAGATCTGTCTAAAGCATTTGACACATTAAATCATCAAATATTGTTTTCTAAGCTTGAACGTTATGGCATTCGTGGTGTGGCGTTACAGTGGATTAAAAGCTATTTTGAAAATCGTGAACAATTTGTACAGCATGATGTTTCCTCTTCCAAACAGATTATTCAATGTGGCGTTCCTCAAGGTTCCATATTAGGACCACTGTTTTTCATTCTATATATTAATGACCTTCCGAATGCCTTGCGATTAGCGGAACCATTATTATTTGCAGATGATACAAGTATTTACTACTCACATTCTGATCCACTTGTGTTAGCTACTGTCTTAAATCAAGAATTGAGTAGTATTAGCTTGTGGATGAAGGCGAATAAATTGTCAGTTAATACCAAGAAAACAAACTACGTTATTTTTAAACCAAAACAAAAGAAATTAAAAACTATTATGATACCGCTCATGTTTAATGAAAATAAGCTTACGCAAAAACGAGTGGTCAAGTTCCTTGGAGTTTTTATAGATGAAAATCTTTCATGGAAATTTCATATTGATCACATCTGCAAAAAAGTCTCAAAATCCACCGGCATAATCTATAGATCACGTTTTCTATTGTCTATGAAAACTAAATTATCCCTATATTATACCTTGATCTACCCATATCTGACCTACTGCAACGTCATTTGGTCTTCTACCTATGTCACAAATGTAAAAAGATTATTTTTAATCCAAAAACGACTTGTTAGAGCTTTGACAAACGCTGACTTTACAGCACATACTGCGCCACTGTTTTATCGGCTGAATCTGCTTGATATTTATAAAATTAATTTCTTATACATTGTTAAATTCATGTATTGCTATCATTATAATTTACTTCCATCTTCATTTCACAATATTTTCATTACTAGTCGTCACATGCACTCTTACAACACTAGAAATGCAAATGCATATCGACCTCATACATGTCGTACAAACATAAAGAAGTTTACTATTTTGTTCCAAGGACCCCAAAAATGGAATTCCCTTCCGGAAAACATTAAAAATTCAGAGACTTTAAGTTGCTTCAGGAATAGAATGTTAAAATATCTAATATAGCCATCATTTATATTATGAAACTGGTAAATAATTTCATATGCTCTAAACGTCTGATTCCCCTTTGTGTTTATATATGTTGTGCTCATTTAAAAGGGAGCCTAAACTCCTATAAGCCTTGTGGTTTCGTCTTAGGCTTCCTTGTCACCAACATGATGACTGAACAAAATTTACTTATCGAACTATACTTATTTATATAACTTATCTATCTTATTTAAATATCTAACTATTATATAACAGTTCTATAATATTTATATATACAGTATATGCATGTAATTTACAATCTTTTATTTTTTATTTATTTTTTTGTAATGTTGGTGTCAAATCAAATTAAATTCATTCATTCATTCATTCATTCATTCATTCATTCATTCATTCATGCTTCCAAGTCTGACTTAATGCCGACTAAAACGCCACCACCAATCTCGTTCGCTCGATCTTTGCGAAATATGTTGTAACCAGGTAGTATTTCACTGTCGGGAATGCTGTCGTTCAACCAGGTCTCGCATATACACAGCACATCATAACCGCCGCCATGAACTAGTTGTTGCAAATGTGTTATCTTGCATACCTTGAGTGAGGTTTCGTCAAGAGGTATAAAAGCTTTCAGACTCCTTGCATTAAGATAGAGAACTTTTAAACTGTGCGTAATTCGGTGGTCCGGTCCTGGATTAGATGCAACATCCATACATATCGTTAAGTCTACAACTGGATTGGAGTTGGGTGAGGACAGACAAAGGTAGCCGTGTTTTTCCCACGTAAACTGAGCGGAATTCATGGAGTTTCTGAATTTAAATTTAAATCGAAAACGAGTGAAGGACATCGGGATCATTTCTTGCCCAACGTACCTGTCTTTTAATGTACGTCGTTCATTGCAGATTCCAGGCGCAGTTGTGGATCTTTCTTCGAATCGCACAAGTTTAGCTTCTGATCTATTAGCCAACCAAATTATTGAAATGAACATAAGGATCCCAATGATAACTTTTGACAATTTACCGCGATATTTACAGTTGAAAACAACCATTTCGCAAATCACCACTAAATGTTTTACGCGCAAAAATGACAACAACTCCAAGAATTGCGCGAATTTGTTTCACGTCAGCAGACAGTCTGGCGTATCACGCTTGCGTGTGCGTAATGTCAACGGAATTTATTTCAATTGCAATTAAAAACACCAAAACCACGACACTTGGAGCCTTGTTAAGACGAGTAAGGAATACAGGAACTGTTCGCAAAACTCACAAGAATATCGACTGTAACCTTATCTTCCACTTTCCAATAAATTGTAATCCAATCTTGAGTTTTTATGGTCAGAATATAACAATTTCGGCAGAGCGCCTTGGTGCGTGCGTGCGCACGCTAGCACGTGACTTATAGCATATTATAATAATCGTATTTTCACAAAATATTTTATTATTTGAAATTGTATGATAGTTTACCGAAGGTAACAATGTTGCTACGTTGATAAGCGAAATAAAGATAAAATAGGGGTTTTAGAGACATACGTTAGTATAATTGCAACATTGTGATATTGTTTGGGCTCAACATATCCAGGGAATCTTGATCGTGTTGTCAAACTCCAAAAACGAGTAATCCGCTGCATATGTGGACAAGCATAGGATGTACATACTGATTCAATTTAAATATTAAATTAAAAAAATTAAATTAAATTATTTATTTATTTTTTTAAATTTTAGTTTTATTTATTTTTTTTGTACATACCGATTTAATTTAAAGAATTGAAAATTCTGAAAATTGGTGACATATATCTATTTAATTTTGGTATGTTTATGTTTTCGTATTGCAATGACTTACTTCCTGATGCAACCAGTTAATCGAATTCATTAATACAACACCCGAATTTCCGGATTACTCTATATCCCATTTTGTAGGACTAGTAGCCTATCAGACGATTTTCTATGTTTTATCAAGGCCCAAAATTCTTAGATATCCGAAGCTCATTTTTAATCACATCTTTCCGAAATAAGTTAAAAAAAACTTTTGATTTTTGTTTAATCGATTCGTAATAAATACTTCTTTCTACTCTAGCGAACTGGATTTATTATTTCAATATTGTAAGCTGTAAATACTTCTTTATATTTTTTACTATTTTGTATCACTGCATGTTAAACATTTAATTGATGAATTATCCTAATTAAGGTACCCAACACTTTAAAAGCTTTTATGGCTTCTTGTTGGGTTTCCTTTTCAAACCTCCTAACACAGGTAGTCTCGTATTTAATACTGTTTCGTCTGTTTTAATTGTATTTTTTGTATTCTATTCGTATTGTGTTTCGTGTTTGGCTTAAAATGTAATAAATTGAAATTGAAGTCTTCCTTATCCTTATCTTCTTATTTTTATCGTCCTTACCTTTATCTTGCTTATCTTTATCTTTCATATACATATCTTCCTTATCTTCACCTTGCTTACCTTAATCTTACCTTAATCTTCCCTATTTTTATCTTCCTTATCTTTATATTTCTTATATTTGTCTTACCTATTTTTATCTTACCTATTATTAACTTCCTCATCTTTATCTTCCTTATCTTTATCTTCCCAATTCTTATTTTCTTTATCTTTACCTTCCATATCATTATCTTGCTTATCTTTATATTTCCTTTGACAGCGAACAATATCGCTGGGTAGTTACAAACTCAGAAACACTAGCTTTAAATATATCGTTAAACATTCAACAACTTGTTAAATACTGTATATATGTTTCAACTGTTTATTTTGAGGAAAACAGTATAACTTACAACACCACCATGATTTATTAATAGACACTAAATGTTTATCACTTTAGCGCTTGTTTATGAAGCGAACCTGATTAATTCCGTCAGTGTAATATATAATAATATAACATAATATAACATATTGTTATATAGCGAGTGTCAAAGTTCATTTTTTCTGTTTGCCGATTGGTCAAAACCGTGTCACGTGCCGGTCTACAAAACGTCATGTTCGGCAACCGGTCAGCAATCAAACATTTATTGACCGTCAATAATAAAATGGGTGCAATACGCATACATGTCAACCATGAAGTTCCAAAGTTCATTTTTAAAACATTTTACTAACATTTACGGCGCTCCATTTGACCATTTATCTAGTTTTGGTTTCAAATTAAGGTGGCTCGCTACAGTTTATAGAAATGTTGAAAATGCGTAAACTAGATCACCTTTTTGAAGAGATGATGCTCTTTACAAATCGAAATTTGCATATTATATATACAGCCACAATCAAACAGTCGAAAATTGGTCAGAAAAGTGACGCCACCACTGTTGCTATGGCAACAATGAAGATTCAAGATGGCCGATATTTTAGGTTTGAACGCATTTTACTTTAACAAAAAGGTCGGTTACCCCCATTTTTTATTTCAGAAAACCTTTTTTTTATAGTGCAATGCATTATCTGACCAATTTTTAAAAAATTCTGTAATGCAAAAAAAAATCACGCCTGGCATTTTTGCATGCGAAAACGCTAGTTCGCCATTCATTATGACCTGCGGTATTCTTCAAAAAATGCTGCGTAAGCATAATTAATTTGACAAGATGGCGGCCATTCGAAATGGCAATTTTAGTCTTGATGAGGTCTTAAATCAAGATATTTTGAACGACAACTGTGTCGAACGGCCGGTAGATTATTTTCAGAAAGTAATGGAGGCCCTTGGTAGCTGCACTCGGGAGAAAAGCTGCCGAAACGACGCGTTTTTCGTGGATGAATGTGCCGAGCAAGTTGAAAATTTACTGGAAGCTCATGATTCTCTGGATTAAATGTGCCACGGAAGATGACTAATTCCATAAATCCAGCGCCAATACTACAAAGGGAAGCTCGGCTGTGGCTGGCAGGAATTCGACGGCGGATAGGGAGCAAAACGAGTATCAGAAACCCATATTTATTTACTCAGTTTATCATGTTTTCAATAATCGTGGGAAATGTTCGGGGTTTGTACGGATTTGTTGAACCATTTTGTTTTCACTGTGATGTCAAGAAGGCTATTGTTATTTATTTCACTTTAATGCGCTTTGTCAAGGAGTTATTTGCTTTATTATCTGGGTTGTCCAAGGATGTTGTGCCTGGCTACTTTGGGCAAAGTTTTTCAACTACAGTGTATATATGGATTGGAGAGTGGAATGTCAATGGATTTCCTCGGCATGTTTGCTAGTAATGTCTGAAATATTATAATTCATTAAAGTATAGTCAGGTATATTGTAACAGTTGTGAAGATGTATTCTCTCAAACTCTCTCAGCATTCACATTATGACATTATTAATTATTATAAGAGCTAAATAGCTGATAAATAGTGTATTGGCTGCCTCCATCCCTTCCTTTCTGTGATGGATTGTCACCCTTGGTCCCTTTATACCCAATGACTCTTCACAGCTGTTGCAAACATATCAAAACATTGTTAAGATAATTGGTAATTCTTAAAATGCCCATGCATAACTGGTCATTGCTACCAAAATCACTTCTACCTATGTCTCCAAAATTATCAGCATGTATGTACCATTATTACATGTATTTATACTGTTACTGTGGCAATGACCAACAAGTAATGGGAATTGCCAAATAGTTGTCCATTTCATGATGTCAGAGTATGTTTCTCTGATGACTGGTTTTCTATAAATACCCAGATAGCAAAGGAAACAACTCAAATATTTTAGTGAAGTGAAAGTTAAAAATATAATTTCTGTTTGCAATATTGGTGTTGGAATTTTGAAATGAGTCAACCCTGAACCAACTGTTGTAGGTTTTCTCTGGGTACTACGGTTTACTCACACGGGAAGAAAAATCTGTTTGAAAAAGGTGTCCACTTTCATGACCATTTGACTGGCACTGCATGCATTTATTGTTGACCTACAGACAAGGGATTCAAAGCAATACATTTTGCCAGAAGTAATTATTTGCACATTCAGCTTTTTATTTTCTTATCTCAATCAATCTGCAGGCAAAAATCATTGCATACAACACAAATATAATGATGTGGACATCAATTGATATCTTGTTTTTTTTAAAGAAATACAATGGTTTACATAGGTTATGATATGGTTAGGTAAAAATAATACTATATACAAATTAGCATAATATATCTAACCCAGAATAAGAACATCTATACAAAGTGAGAGGTGCAACTTTAAATAATAACAACATAGTGTTGATATATGCTAATTTGTAGATGTATATGTAGTTTTCTGTATAATTGTATTAATATATTCTATATTGTTATTAATATTTTTTGTATATACTTTGTTATGACTAAATGCATCTGATTGGTTTAATTTTTGTCACATGATCATAAAAGCTCGTGTAATTTTCCAGACCCCGCAACAAACTTCCCGACGAAGGGCCTTCGCTCGAAACATTGTCCTTGTATTTTTCAGGTAGTTGCATCCCTACCAAACAGGGGCGAAACTTGAGTTGGGGGGGGGGTGTTCAGGGGGGGGGCAGAAAAATTTTCCACCCCCTCCCCACCCACCCACCTCTGTTCGCCAGCATTTTGGGGGAAACAGTGGCCAGAAATGAAAATTTGCTGCAGGGCATCATCGGTTTGGGCAGGGCAATTCTGGCAGACACCCCCAAATTAAAAGGGGGTAGTTTTGCCCCTGCTACCAAACAAAGCTTCAAATGAAGATAGTTCTATGTTACTACCATGCACTGTGTGTGGCATAATAAATACACTTAGCACTTTACTGGGAATCTTTAAACTCCTGTGTTTTGTGACTAAAACTATTTGTAGATTAATTTTGCCACTTGAGATAAATCCTCATGATCACCAGGATCGACAGACTGTGCACGTTAAACAGTTACTGTTAGACTGGCTACAATTTGCTGCTCTTTTCACATGAACAATTCTTGGTTGTTTGCTATTAAAACCACTTTCATCCTTGCTATTGAATTTTTTAATCTAAATCATTAGCTGTAGGAAAAGAAAATTAAAAGGTAGGTTTAATCATTAGTTAGTTAGATTGATATGTGAGAGGTCTTAGACTTTTACATCAAAATTATTGAGTGGAACTTTATAAACATTTATTAGATCTAATCAGGAATAACTGTGAGAAAAGCAACTATAGGTCACTGGCAGGAATTGAACCTGCAGCCACGCTGCAGTGCTGGACTAAGGCCTGTTCATGCATTACTGTATATTACATATACACTAATTAAGGTACTATATATACATATATCATACTAAAAAGGTACTGCCATGACCCTAACCCATAAGAGAGCTCGACAACTGGCCTCTGTCGGTTAGAGTGCTGCACTGGAGTCGCAGGTCTAATTCCGGCCAGGGACCTACAGTTGCTTTTTTTCACAGCTGTTCCTTGTTTTGGAATAATAATTGTCTATAAATTTCCACTCGACAATTTCCATGTCCAAGACCCTTCAACTATTATAATCAGTGGGATGCCAACAGAATCTCTTAGAATAATATATAGGCCTAGTGTCCTAAACAACTGAGCTACAGTACAGAGTCCAAATGTCGAGCTCTAACCACAAGTATATATACTGGTTACTGCCTTGTCAATGTATCAGTAAATATTAATATGTTTTAAAGGTTATAGGTTTCAATTTTGGTATTTAGCGATACTAACACAGCAGTACCCAAGTATACACACATGAATTCCAGCTTGACAACTGGACTCTGTAGCTCAGTTTTGTTGGTTAGAATGCTGCAATTGCACCAGGATTGCAGGGCCGCAGGGGCGATTCCAGCCAGAGGACACAATAATATTCAAAGTGTGTGAGCAACTAGCAGTCGGGATGTACCTTTCATATACCATGCTACTTTCTGGGAGTTTATTAATTTTGTCTACCACAGTACTTATTGAACTTGAAGCTCACAATTGGGTTGGCTTTAAATAGTATACAGTTTATAGTTTAATAATTAAAAATAGATATGCTATAAGTGATATAAAACAAACTATTATCTAGTCTAATGGGTTAGCATATTTGCAAAATTGTAAAGCACCTTAACACTTTTAAAACAAACTATTATCTAGTCTAATGGGTTAGCATATTTGCAAAATTGTAAAGCACTTTAACACTTCTAAGTGTTAAGGTGCTTTACAATTTTGCAAATATGCTAACCCATTAGACTAGACAATAGTTTGTTTTATATCACTTATACCATATCTATTTTTAATTATTAAACTATAAACTGTATACTATTTAAAGCCAACCCAATTGTGAGCTTCAAGTTCAATAAGTACTGTGGTAGACAAAAATTGTGCGCGAATATAAATTTATCATCATGACAAGAATAAACCAGTGTATAGCACGATCAAGATGGGCTCAGTTCATAATATGAAGATATATATTGAATAAAAGACCATGATAAATCAGAAACTCGATTACAAAAAATACAAGAGATATGTAAAACCTTTCTTACCTTGGAATCTAATCGCTTAAGCTCCTGAGCTGTATATATTGCATTTTTGTTCTCCTCTTCAACTGCCAACAGCCTAACTGTGTCTTTCGCATATACTTTCCAACATCGAATATTTTATTGCGTGCATGCCTTTGTAAAAGGTATAATATTATCTTTTCTAGCACATTTTGTCAAAAACAAAAAACATACGATTTTTAATAGGTATCTTGACTTGTATTGGATTCAAAAATAAAATGAAAATAACACTGTAGAAAGAATCCTATACAAGCCGAAGTTGTTGCATTTTGACAACATGATGCGAAAGTCGCCATTTCCCTCAAATGCCCCGAACAACAAGCGCTCCTGCAGCAAAACATTCCGCGTAACCATGGTAATCTTGATATCATTTTGATCCCCGAGACACGCTCTGTTTCCCTGTTTACCTTAAATAACCCTCAAGGAAAACGCGCACAAGCACGCGCTCGCGGAATTTGAGGAATTTTTCAATTATCAAATTCGCTACCAAGCTCCCAAAATTGTCGCGCGGCAACGAAAAAAATTGACACATTTTAATGTGCAATTTCGTGTGCAAAAATGCCAGGCGTGAATTATTTCGAAAAACTATGTTTATAAATTTTTTAAAAATTTGGCATTACAGATTTTTTTTAAAATTTGTTAGATAGTGTATTGTACTATAAGAAAATGTTTTCTGAAATAAAAAATGGGGGTAACTGACCTTTTTTAAAGTAAAATGCGCTTAAAGCCAAAATATCGGCCATCTTGAATCGTCATTGTTGCCATAGCAACAGTGGTGACATCACTTTTCTGACTAATTTCGACTGTTTGATTGTCGCTGTATATATAATATACAAATTTCGATTTGTAAAGAGCAACATCTCTTCAAAAAGGTGATCTAGTTTACGCATTTTCAACATTTCTATAAACTGTAGCGAGCCACCTTAAGTTCACTCCAACAACCGGTAAGTTATTCATACTTTGACACTCATATACTATATAACAAAACACTTATTTACTGAGACCTCGGAAAAGCAGTGTGGTTTGTGGTCCTTCGACCGCCTTTGTTGCCCTCGGCTTCGCCTCGAACAACGACGGCGGTCTCGGGTCCACAAAACACACAGTTTCCCTCGGTCTCAGTAAATAAGTGATAAATATATGTAATAAAATCTCTATAATATATAGTGATGGGTCGCTTTTCTTACAGGCCTCTATGCTGAGCCTTACTTGCTGATCAAATCAAGGTCTGAAATCCACGCCATTGATTTGATAACCCTAAATGCAACTGTGGTCATCGTTGGACTTGCAGGTAGAACGATGGAAATTGACACCGCAGACAACAATTTATATATTGCAGACAACAAAAGTATATCCAGGGTAAACATTGATGACATGTGCGTAGAAGTCATTTTACAAAATGGTAATTTTAATGATATTGCGATTGACTGGATAGGACGTCGTATATTCTATACTGAATATTTGGAAAGGCGAATTTCCGTGGCAAATTTGGATGGAAAAGAAAAGAGCAGAGTGCTGACAAATTCGACTTACCCTTCCCATTTAGGTTACCCGTCCGGTATAGCAGTGGATCCAAGCGCGGGGTAAGTTTTCCTGATTTGAAAAATAGTTCTATGATGTAATATCCGTTGATATAAATCTTAATATTTTGTTATCTAACGATAAAATTTCAAATATATTTTCTGCCGACAACGTTAGAAAATCTCTCGTCCACCTTAATGTAAGGAATGGTAGTAAGTGTATTTCAATCATTAGCAATCCGTAAGGTAAGCTTAATTAAATTATTAGTAATGAATATTTGAAATCTCGACGACTCGAAAACGCACACAATTATACTTGAATATTTTAAACAAGACTTGACGGAAATAATTAATCCCTAGCTTGAAACAAGACGAACACAGTTGAAAACCCTTCCACAGTCTGTTTATTGAGCCGCCTGTTTGCTGTCAATTATTACGCACACCTCATTTAAAAAAATAATTAATATCTCAAAACTTTATGAAATTCCTTTAAAATCTGTATAACTTAATTAAACTTATAGTAAGCCTGCTTTGGGACTCTAACTCTCCTCAAATCTCCAATGCTTGCAACCACAAATTAGCCGAGATTTCTTAATATTCCCCTAAGCTAACTTAAAATCGCATTCGCAGGACCATGAAAAACACCAAATACTATTCCTCCACATATACAGACACCATGCCTTGTTACGGTGACGATTGGGCGTGTGTGGGGGTTACATGACTGCAATAAGGAAGTGCACGTTTGGAATAGCCTTGATAGTAAATTAATAGATTTAACATCACGTCCAATTTTTAAGAAAAAATCAAATTACACTTTCTTCATAGCTAATACAAAAAACACTTCTCATGTAAAATAATTTGTTAATCTAACATTTCTTATCTATTCATTTTTAGCTATACTTTATTAATGAATTACACGTTATATTAAATCATTTTGTAATATATACGATATATACTATTTACTGTATAGCACAAAGACATAATCATAGCATAAAGACTTTAACTATTATAGGGGTCTAAAGCGGAATGCCTGTTTAATTAAGGTTTCAATAGGCTGCTAGCCCGAAAATTTATTTATTTTATTCCTTTTAGGTAAATAATAGTATTTCATATGGGAAAATCATTAAAAAAAAGAAGAATACTTGAAATTATGCACGCAATAGTGACTGGCAAAATCCATATCGGTTTTGCAATGTTGACATTATTGACACTAGCACACACGTGACTAGAAAGTTAGTTAAGTATTTTAGAAGCACGAGGCTAGGGAACCGGGAAGTAATTGGATACGTACTATGCTGTTTGTACAAGTTGTTTGATATCTATTGTTATACTTAAAAGTGCTTGATATTGATACAAAACCACGAACATTACATTGGCGACGAGGTAAACAAACAAACAAAAAAAACAGCTATCGTTTATCAATACAAAGATTTTGAAATCTCTAGTTTACGAATACAGTCATGGCGACTGGCCGAATCAATGTAGCTCCAATGGCGCCATTTGATCCTATGTCCGATCCAAACTCTCTCAGTCAGCGCTGGAAAACGTGGAAACGACGATTTGAAACATATCTTGTTGCTCTGAATGTGACTGAAAAGAAACAAAAGCGGGCTCTCTTGTTGTACCAAGCTGGCCAAGAGACTAAGGATATTTTTGATACCCTTGTTGACATCGGCGAAGACGACGACTATGATTCCGCTATCGCTGCCCTCGATACGTATTTTTTACCTAAAAAACATGTCGATTTTGAAATTTTTAAGTTTCGTGAAGCCAAACAACAACCACATGAAACAATCGATCAGTTTTCAACTCATCTTAGGAAGCTGGCGGCAACCTGTGACTTCGAAAATATCGACAAGGAAGTAAAATCGGCCATAATTCAAAACTGTTTATCGAAACGTCTACGACGCTACGCCCTGCTTGACTCGGAAGTTACGCTAGCCAAGATTCTCGCAAAAGGCAGAGCTTTTGAACTCAGTGAATCGCAGGCAACCGGCATTGAAAACGCACTTGACTCAACACATATTTCTGACGAAGTAGTTGAAGCTGTCCATCCTACAACGAAACATAACCGTCGTGATAAACAACATACATCGTTTCACCGCCAAGACTTTTACACCTCATCAGAGTGTCGGAATTGTGGGGGGCCCTGGCCCCATAACAACAATATTTGTCCCGCGAAAGGAAAATCTTGTCTGAACTGTGGAAAATCAAACCATTTTGCGAAAGTCTGTCGTAGTGCTCGCAAGGCTCGCTTCGATCAACAAGAGAATCGAAGGCCTTCAAAAAAATACCACAAAAACAAAGGTCACAAGATTTATGGCAAACCCTCCAGCAGTGAAAGCAGTAGCGAGGATGAATTTATTTTTACTCTGAAACCGACAGGTAGAGACAAAACAACTCCACAGGTTCAAATCTCGGTCAACACCACCCCTATCAACATGGTTATCGACACTGGTGCTTCCATCGACATCATCGATGAACTTGCTTTCAACACCTTGCAAAAACAGTGACCCATAGCCCTTCAACGTTCCAAAACACGTATTTTTGCATATGGAGCTACAAACCAGCTACCTGTTATGGGACAATTTCGTGCAACTCTAGAATGTTTGACTGGTGCAACAACCACGCAAGTTCATGTTATCAAAGGAAATTTTGGTTGTTTGCTAAGCTATCAAACGGCATCTGCTTTGGGTCTGATCATGCTGAATGTTAACAATGTGAAACCGGAACATGCCACCCATGAACAACTGATGAAAGAGTATGCCAATTTGTTCAACGGAATTGGCACTCTTAAAAATTTTGAAGTTAAATTGCACATTGATGATACTGTCCCTCCAGTAGCACAAACCCCCCGTCGTATTCCTTTCCACATGCGGCAAAAGGTCTCAGATGCGCTCGACACGTTAGAAAATGATGGAATTATTGAAAAAGTATCAGATGCCACTCCTTGGGTCAGTCCATTAGTTGTTATCCCAAAGAAAGATGGTGAGATCAGGCTATGCATTGATATGCGTATGGCTAATCAGGCAATTCAACGCGAAAGACATCCGACCCCAACTGTGGATGATTTAATTCACAAATTAAACGGCGCCACCATATTTACAAAGCTTGATCTTCGCTCGGGATACCACCAGTTATCTCTCGCTGAGGAAAGTTGACACATAACCACATTTGTAACGCACAAAGGACTCTACCGCTATAAGAAGTTGAATTTTGGCACCAATTCTGCAAGTGAAATCTTCCAACATGTAATTAGCGAACAAATCCGTGACATTCCGAATGCCATCAACATTAGTGATGACATAATTATCTTTGGCATAACCCAAGCTGAGCATGACAAAGCTCTTCATGAAATTTTTGAGCGGTTTTCACTCATTGGAACTCT